AAGAAGAAGAAGAAGAAGAAGAAGAAGAAGAAGAAGAAGAAGAAGAAAGAAAGAAAGAAAGAAAGAAAAGAGAAAGAAAAAACAAACAAACCAAAAACAAAAATGGGATTTCTTATACAGAAATCAGATTTCCAAAATTGGAGTCAGTTCTGAGCACAGCAATTGGAAGTATTGAGTCTGTAGAGAAGACAGGATCATGTTCATGGAGCAAAATTAGACCAACAGCAAAGTGGAAGACTGAGACTTAAGGCTGGAGAGATTGGCTCAGAGGTTAAGAGCACTGGCTGTTCAATGACCAGCAACCACATTGTGGCTCACAACCATCTATAATGAGGTCTGGTGCCCTCTTCTGGTGTGTAGGCATCCAAGCAGGCAGAATTCTGTATACATAATAAGTATTTTTTTTTTTTTTTATAATGGGGCTATAACTGAATTTTGGCCATCAGAAATAGATTTCTCTCACACAAAGTATAAATTATTTACTAAAAAATGCGTGTTTCATACAAGGCTGCAGGTTATGAAAATGTTTGCTTTCTAACAGAAGTTAGTGGTGTGTGGACTATGCTATAAAAGTAAAAATTCAACATGCAACTAAAGGAAATAATGCTAAGAAGTAAAGATTTTTAAATCTGCAATAATTTTAGAACCAGAAATGTGTCTAGCTTGGTTCTGTATTAAAAATGACCACCTCAAAGCTTTCTGTGCAGGAAGCTCAGTACCATAGGGTGTAATAAAGGAAAAACCAGGTCAGCCTCTGCCCTTAGTTTTGCCTGGGGCAAGTTACCCAACATCTCTGTGCCTCAGTTTCCTCCTCTATAAAATAGTGACGCTCAAATGTGTATTCTAATGTTTGTCTGTGAGGATTCAGGTGAAATGCTCAAGAATAGTCTACCTATAAACCCTTAACTATGGGAACAGATGTTTCTTGTGTTAGTATTTAAAAATGATGCCAAGCACACAACTGATCTTATATGGAAGTTTATTCAGGGGAAGGGAAGCAGGAGAGAGTTAGGACCTGAGTGATCCATGAAGGCAGACACACACACACACACACACATAGAGACAGAGAAACAGAGACAGGCAGACAGACAGACAGACAGACAGAGATGGGTGGAGGTGGCACCCTGACAGGGGAAGGAGAGAGAGACCAAAACAATGAGGAGCAAGAGAAAGAGAGTGAGAGAGTAAGAGTAAAAGGCAGGGGTCCTTTTATCCTGGGCCCCTGTGGGCGGTGATCAATGATGACATCACAGGTGCCTGAGCAACCTGGGAATGGATTAGTGCATCAGGATTTATGAACTAACACCTAGAGCGATGGTTCTCAACCTGTGGGTTGTGATCCCGATGGGGTCCAAACAACCCTTTCACAGAGGTTGCCTAAGACCATTAGAAACATTTTATAACATTAAAGTTGGAGAGATCTCATGCACCATTTAGCCCCATCCAATCTACTGGACCCTCAGCCTCCTCCATGATTGTGTCTCAAAAAGTGACTTTGTAGTCTCTGCTTCCACAGTCAATGAGAACTGGAAGCCATGTCACTTGTGAGCAGCTTTAGTTATCAGGAAGTTCCTGAGATCTAACTCGCTATTCCCCATGCTTTGAGAACCATCATCCCAGGAGCCTGCATTAGAGAGAGCACCCTTCCTATGACAGTGGCCATGAATCTGAATGTGACTTGATCCTCCCAACTATAAGACTTTAACAGTGCAAGGAGGCACTGTAACCTCCTTGATTTTGCAGCAACCCACACTTGGCAAGAGTAAGAATTTCCAGACAACCTCTGGAAAGACTAAATGCAGTACTTTAAAAATCCAAGTGAACGTTAAAATCAGTTATCTGTATTTCTTCAAAAGGCATACCTATCAGGTAGCATAGGAGGCCTCATATCTAGGAAATTTATTTTCTTCAAAAGGCATACCTGTCAGGTAGCATAGGAAGCCTCATATCTAATAAATTTATTTTCTGCCTCCAAATTTTGTCAACACTTTAAGGTAAGAACTGTGTGTGTGTGTGTGTGTGTGTGTGTGTGTGTGTGTGTGTGTGTGT